CGCGCCCTCGGGCCGGGCCTTGCCCGCCGGCAGCCCGCGCGCGCCGTCCGGCCCGGGCTCCAGCACCAGCGGCCGGTCCAGGTGCGTCTTCATGTCGGGCCGCAGGTGGCGCGCGGTGGCGTAGCGCAGCCGCTCCTCGGGGCCCAGCTCGCTGTACAGCGCCTCGCAGCTGGCGCGCAGGTTCTGCAGCCGCAGCTGGCTGGCCCGCTGCTCCCACACCGAGCGCGCCTTGGCCGAGCTCTGCTGCCTGCTGCGGGGAGACCGGAGTGAGCGCGCCCCGCTCTGCCTCGCAGGGGCAGCCGCCGACGGACCCAGCGACGGGGGTGGCAGAGGGGGGTGGCAGAGGGGGGCGGCGAGGACGGGAGGGGGGGTGGCAGGGCCCTCAGGACCCCCACGGAGTCGCTGCAGAAGGGGGAGTCACCCAGCGTGACAGAGCTCACCCAGTGGTCATGACCCTGCGGACCATGAGAGCACCGGCCTGCGCGCGGGGGTGGGGGTGGGATGGGGTAAGGGGCTCAAGTCCCCTCTGGAGCCGGTGACAGCAGCCTGAGGCCCAAGTGGGAATGGCAGGCACCAGCACGGGCTGGCAGACAGGCTTCTGGGGCGGGTGGGCCTCGCAGGAAGGCCAGCATGGGTGGGGCGGATCGGAACCCGCAGGGCTCAGGCAGAGGCAGGAGGCTGGAGCCCCGCAACAGGAGAGCAGAGCTGCCCACAGAGGGGCCTCTCCACATCCACATCCAGGAGGAAGGCCACTGGCCAGGACAACACGAGTGTTTGTGAAGGAATCCCGGACAGCAGCCAGCACAGCCCGGGGGTGAGGGGCAGGGGACAGGTGGCCCTCTCAGGAGCAAACGGGGCCAGGACTGCCCCCTGACGTGGTCAGCTCCATCCAGGGGACCGCCACTAGGCTCAGTGACCATTTGCTCCCAGGAGCTCAGCAGTCAGGTCTGGGCTGGAGACACTACTACCTCCTGTGGCCGCCAGCGTCCTCCGCTCTCCTGGCTCCACACACAGACCCTCCTCTCCCCCAGGGACAGAGCCGGAGCACGCCCCGGAGCCTCTGGCACTAGGAGTGGTGTGTGGTCCAGGCCGGCCCTCACTGCACAGACTACCAAAGGCCTTGACCGCCATCCAACCTTGCTCACATAGTCACCTGTGGGGCCCCACAGCACAGGGTACACAGGACCCCTTTGCTGAATAAGACCCCCAAAGTAGGCAGCCACAGCCCCACCCTGGCCAAGCAGGGTCTCGGCCGTTGCCCTCTGCAGGCTGCGGACCCACAATGGTGGCTGGCGGCATTAGCAGCATGAGAACGACGGTGGCTGTGATGTCTGTACCGTTCAACAGCCGCACTGTGCCCTGGGCTCCAGTGCCCACCGCATCCAGCCCTCACAGCTACCTCAGGAATCAGGTGCTGCTCCCACGCCCACTTTTCAGATGAGAACACTGCGCCGACAGGACAGGACTCACAGTGGGTCCACAGCCTGTCACTGACGGAGCCAGGACTGGATGCATGCAAGGGCAAAAACAAAGGAAGTTCTCTACGGAAAATGCGAGGCCTCGGCCAGACCCCGACGGCACTGACAGCAAAGCCCAGGGCCACAGCCTGAGGGGACCCAGGCCAGCTCAGCCACCAGCTCCGGGGCCCTGGGCCACTGGCACCATGGTGACCTGCAGAGAGAGGCGGCAGTCGGCCTGGACAATGTGATGGATGGTGACTCCTGCCCTCTGCAGGGGTATGCAGGCGTGTGGGAGCCATTTCCAGCACAGTGCCTTGCACGTGGGGGGCAGGAGAGCACGACGCCTGTCGCTCACCTGGAAGCCCTGACGGGGGAGGCAGGGCGACGTGTGGGGGACATCTGCTGACCCACACCTCAGACTCACCCCAGGCCCTGACCTGCCTCCCCAACACATGGAAGCCATGCTGCCCCACTTTCGGGGTCACCTTGTAACAAACACGCTTTCTCTTTCTTTGGCTTCAACCTAGAGCCACAAGGGGCCTGCCCATGCCCAGCTGGCACCAAAACACAGGGCCCAGCTCTGCGCTGTACTGACCCTTGTGAAACGATGACAGCCAGGGGCGTGCCCAGCCGTAGGAGCCCGTGAGGGCTGAAGGCCGGTCCCTGCTCAGGCCTCCCAATCAGTCCAGCACTCCCAGCTGGGCCTGGACAGAGCCGGTGGCTCCCCTAACGAACACTCTGCCTCGTGGGAACTATAAGGCGACACCAGTGGCGGACACCTCAGAAAAGCAGCTATGCTCAAGACACCAGAGTGACGGCACACAGTCCGCAGACAGGAGGACAGAGACCAGGAGAGAGAGGCGGGGGCCGAGCTCAGAGCGCGATGCCCGTGAGCGGGACTTAGGGATGTCCGGAAGTGTGCCCGCCGTCCCCCGTCCTCCAGGCTGCGGGCTTGCCTGGAGCCGCCCACTGAAGCGAATGGCTGGGGTAGGAAAGCAGAGTGGGAGAGGCGGGGGAGGTGTGTGCGTGTGGTTATCATGAAGCCGCAGGGATCGTAGCAGAGCGACTCACGGTGAGTTTACGCTGGAGACAGACGAGCTGCGAGACACAGTACCTCGAGTGTGCTTTACAAAACTGCACATGCAAAAGACAAAACAGAACAAGGGTGAGAAAAGCAGAGAGTTCTAAGAGACACTAGAACACGCGTGAGCCGCGTCAGCTCAGGGTGCAGGCTGCAGTGTGCGTCTGGGCAGGGGGCCAGGGACGCTTCCATCAGAATGGTCACCGGCCAAGACCTTGGGGGAAAAGACAAGTTCAGAAAGAGAGAGCACCCAGAAGAAAAGTGAAGCTGCAGTGAGCACAGCAAGCCCCACGTGGCTGCAAGACGAGAGCATTACCTTGGGGGCCTGTCTGCCATAGCTGGGCGCACACTGTCCCTGGAAGGGCAGTGGGGTTCAAAGAGCTGGCACCACTTGTCCCCCAAGTACACACAGCCCTCCCCTGCCTGAAGTGCACCTGGTCGGACAGCCACAGATGCAGCAGAGCCGGCTGACGCAGGGGGCCTCACCTGCAGTATCACCTGGGCCCTGCTGCCTGACCACCACGGCCCTCAGCTCCCCAGCTCTAAGTCAGGTGCTCCAGCTCACCATGACCCTTCCCAGGGCCACACGTCTTACGGCAGCAACCCATCTGCCACTGGGTGTAATTCCACCCATTTCCAAGTGACTTTCTGAAAGCCTTTCCAAAACCAATGGAGAGACAGCCTTCCCCTCAGGGCAGGACCAGGTGGGTCCCAGCTCCCGCTTCTCAAGACCGAGCCTGCGTCTGCACACGTCAGCGAGGAGCTCCCAGCAGCTCGCCTGTCTGCACGTGTGTGACTTGAGTGTGACAGCTTGTGAGTGAGTGGGTGTGAGTGTGTGAAGTTGTGAATGAAGGTGTGTGAGTGAATGTGAACGTGTGAGAATGAAGGTCAGCGAGTGTGAATTTGTGTGTCTGGGTATGAACGTGTCCACATGTGAGTGTGAATGTGTTTCAGTGTGAGTGTGAAGGTGCACAAGTATGAACATGTGACGTGTGTCAACATGTGTGGGTGTGAACACAAGTGGCTGCTGGCGTGTGAGTGTGGATGTGTGTGGGTATGAATGTGGGTGTGAACATGGGTATGAACGTTTCAATATGTTTCAATATGGTGAGTGTGCACGCTCACCAGCATTCAGAAGTTGGGTGATGATGAGGATGACACAGCGCAGAGAACACGAAGACCACGTCAACCTTAGCATCCCTCCCCTCCAAGGAGCCCTGAAGTGGCTGTCACCTAAGGCCAGGGACACTCACAGCCCCAGCCAGCCTCCAGGGGCAGGGGCTCCGGCCCCGCCAGCACCGCTTCTGTCAAGCTACACAAGGCGCTGATGAGAGCCTGTCAAACACCGAGCACACGGAAGGTCCCCTCAGCACCCGCGGCGTCACAGAGAGCATCCCAGCCAGTCCTCCCGTTTCACAGACCATGCGGCCTGCTGTCACTCTACCCCAGCAGCTTGACACAGAAATAACCGCTGAGAAGAAGCAGGCACTGCCCGTCCAAGCAACACGACTCCCCTGGAGGACAGGAAACGTGGGGACAGGCGGGAAACGACAGACAGACACCAGGAGTCTGAGCACAGGCCTCAGCCGGGCACAGGACAGCAAAGCAGCGCACATGCCCGGGGCCTCTGATCCCAATATGACTGCGTGTTCACCACGGGTGGGCTGAGGACACACCAGAGGACCGAGGCCTTCGTGTGCATCCCAGGAGAACACAGCTGGCCTGAGGCGGAAACACAGGGCCAACGGCTGGACACCTCCCAGGCCGCCTGTGACATGGGTGAGCCGACATTGAGCTCAGTACCATGTGAGGCAGAGAATCTGTGTCCCCCGGAACCTATTTCCTGGGGAAAGAAGCACCACGGTAGTGACCAGGCCAAGAGCGGGTGGCACATGTCCCCCGGCTGGGGACACCAGTGCAGTCTTGTTCCTACACAGCAGCGTCCCCCGCAGGGGGCCAGGGGCAGCATGTCCAGACCTCCTGTTCTGGTGGCCTGAAGGGCTCTCCATTGCTGCGCTGCAGGCCCAGCACCCTTCTCTCCGGGGTCTCAGCCCAGATGGCGTGGACACCCTGCTGCACACCCCCGGAAGGAACCCCGGCCAGCAGCAGGGGCCACGTGACAAGGCGCTCACCTCCAGCAACAGCAGAGGGAGCATGCGCTAAACCAACCCGAGGCCCACCCGCTGCCCCGTGGCTCACAGGGCTCAGGACAGGGACCATGGGAAGAGTCTGCAGGGATACAAACGCTGCGTGACTAATCGGCCAGACAGCAAAAGATCTGCCAAGGAAACTTCCACCCCGGGCAGCTGTCAGAATGACCGCAGCCTTGTCCTGCTCAGCTCCCAGGGGCCTGGAGCCCCCTCCAGCTCCTTCTCCACCAAAGACCAGCGCTCCATGCTTCGTTCAGAGACAGGCCCCTGCAAACACCTTCACAGAAAACAGGCCACCACCCTGGTGGCTGCCAAGCAAGAATGGGCTGCTACGATGCACACTCACACGCACACGTGTGCATGCACACTCACATGAGCACACACACGTGCATGCACACTCAAGTGTACACTCACACATGTGCAGGCACACTCCCATGTGCATGCACCCATATGCATGCGCACACACACGTACATACATGCATGCACTCATATGAGCACATGCAACTCATTCACACACGTGCACACAACTCAGGTATGGCGCAACTTACCTGTGTGCTTGCACACTCACACATATGTGCACATTCACACGTGCATGCACACATGACTAAGCACGTGCACTCTCACTACCAGCGTACACACTCGGCAACACAAATGCATGTGTCACCACAGACACGCCTGCAGCTGTCCCGGTGCCGTGAGTGCAGTGCTCACAGAAAGGGTGGCGGGCCAGCTCCAGAGCTGGGGCCTGGGATCAGCGTGGGACGTGGGGTGTGTGGGGAGGGCACGGAGCCAAAGACGGAGCCAGCAGCTCCAGTCTCTGCACAGAAGCCTTGGCCCTACCTTCACCTTTTCTCATCAAGACCTCAGAGACGTTTCTGCAAACTGAGTCTCCTGGGCAGCTGACATTCCACCTAGAACCTTCTGACTCACAAATGCCTTTCTGAAAAGCTGTGCTTGAAATAGTCAGATTGACTTGTGGACTCTGCCCCAGGAAGAGCCCTGGGGCCACCCCAGACTGTCAGGAACAGATAGATCCCTACAGCATGGCCCATTCCACCAGCACACGAAGGCTGCACGCTGCCACGTCTCGCTCCTACTCAAACTGGGGGAGTCTGGAAGCGCTCCCTGCTGAAACCTTGGCACGAAGGCTCCTGCAGGTGACGGGAGCCGTCCCATCATCACAGCTTCTGGGCAAGGGCTGGGTCACAACAAGCTCCAGCCACGGCAGGAGACCCTCTGAGCAACCCTCCAGAAGGCATCCCTGGCTGAAGGCCCTGCCGAGGGCTCTGTAGCAGCCCCACTGCCACCCGCAGTCCGCTCCCCAGAGCCTTACGCAGCAATGGAGACGTTCGCGGCAGACATGGGGCTGACTTCGGCCACTTCCTTGGCCTTTTGCAGAGCAAGCTTCTGATTGGCTGCTTCTTCCATCTCCTCCTCATCCTGTTTGAACAGACAGAAACAGGTGGCTACCCTTCAGAGTGCTGCATCCACTTCCTGGAATCTGAGTCCTTCCTGCCATCTGAACCGGAGGGGCCAGGCAGCAGCTCCTGCGTCTGAACCTGCCCATGCTCCAGCACACAGTACCAGTTCCACACAAGCTCTCTGGCAGCCTTCGGGGACCCCCACCACTTCTATGCCAGCTGCTCAAGGTGGAGGCCCCAAGTTTCCTGCCTCAGCACCCCCTTGCCACGTGCCCTCTCCCTGCATGCTCAAAGCTGATGATTGCACACCTGTACTGGGACCCTGACCCCACGCCAGAGCTCCAGCCCCAGGGACCCAGCTGCTGCCTGGACAGCTCTGCGTGTCTGTCCCACAGCACGAGACTCACTCTATCAAAATGCAAACCCACTCCTCCTTTAGTCCCACCTGTCCCCTCCCCCAGGGCACCTGCCACACTCGGTCGAGGTCAGCCTCTGCCCAGAGCTGTGAGGGCAAGCGGTGGGACTCTCCGCCCAGCCTGGGTCCTGGCCAGCACTGCCCACAGAACTGCCACCACGAGTGTGTCTAAGCAGGGCCACCTCGCAGCCTCTGGGCTTTTCTACCCGGACCCGCTGCCCCAGCTGTGACTGTGTCAAGTCCTTCCTCACCTCTCCCACAGCTATTGGCAGTGCCTGGGCCTGTGTCCCCTCAACACCGAGTCCCCGGACAGGACCCTCATGGCTTTCTGCCACTGGGGGCCGGCCCTGCCTCCATGGGAACAAAGTGGACATCTGGACAGACCATCTGGTCTTGACCTCACATCACTGAGCAAGACCAACACGTCTGCTCCTGCCATCTTGATAAACAGCTTCAGCCCGAGTTCACAGGACCCAGAGCTCCATGTCACCCAGCTACACTGCTTATTCCCCCCAAACCCCAGTACCAGGACATCGCTTCCTCGGCGTGTCCTCACCCACAACCGAGCTCACAGAGCGCAGGCCCACTCTGCCCCAGGACAGCTGGTGCCAGACCGCCAGTGCTACTGGGCACCCCCAGTTCATGCAGCCCCTGGAAACGCTGACACCGGAAGTGCTCATGAATGCATGCGTCCCCCAGCCCAGGCAGCCCAGCCAGGGTGTCGGCTGCTCTCCAGCTGCTGCTGCCTGGCGGTGCTGTCTCGGCCCCTCCTAGTAACAGCAATGGGCAGGCCAGTGGGATTCCCAAGTCCTCAGAAGCCAGCGGCCAGAGCAAGGGGGGAGGCTAGACCCACAGGCACCCTCAGGGCCCACGCCTGGGTTGGGGGAGAAGGCTGAGCCGGAGCCGGGGGAGGTGGGAGAGCTGGATGGAGCAGGGGCCACACCTGCATCTCAGCTGCCCAGAGACGCCCTGGACCTGCCCTCATGGGGAAGGCCCGAGTCAAGCCCAGCCCCACGATGGGGACACGCAGGACAGGACTGAATCAGGCTGTCAGAGCACACAGGGGGGCATCTTTCAGGGACTGGCACAGCACAGACGTGACAGAGCTGCACACGGGCCACTCCGAGCAAGCACACAGGTGTCTGCAACAGGCCTGCGCCTTTCCCAGCTGCCTGACCAGGGCTGTGCAGTGAACAGGGCCCAGCAGGGGTGGTGCCATCTGGAGGGAACCGCTGGGGAAGTCTGTACAATCACACCCCCCACCAGGCGTGTTAGATGGCGTCCACTGGGGCCATCTAATATTAATAGGGACGATGCTATCCTGCTGCGGGCAGCCTGCAGAGAAGGAAGCACCAGCTGGTCCTCCAGGAACCAGCCAGGCCCAGCGTCTGAGGACAGCACTGCCCAGTGACCACCCGAGCGCAACCATCCGCACCTGAGACTGACCACAGGGATGAGCACCGGTGTCCCTACCCACATACCTTGGTCAGCTCCTGGGCGTTGGCGAGATTGTCCACGGCGATGGCCAGAAAGACGTTCAGCAAGGTGTCTGGGTGGCTCCAGCTAAGGAAGGGAGCCCTCTGTCCCCGCACCTTCCCCACAGGAAACAGGGCCCCCAGATCCCCAGCCTCCTTCCCTTGGCGCCCACAGCCCTCAAACCCCCGGCCCCTCTGGCCTGTTGTCGCCAGACGCAGCTCAGCCACCAGGGACCTGAGGCCCCCTGGCCTCTGCCCAAGCCTCCTTCATGCAGTCTCGTGTCACACAGCCCCCAATGCCCACTCCGAGTCTCCTGCCACCCAGCCTGGAGCTCAGAGGCTGGTTGCATCAGTCTGCCCTTGCCTCCCTGGAGGGCCCATGAACTGCCTGCTCTGTCCCCACTCCCGGATTTCTGGCCGGGGACAAGCCTCCGGAGAACCTCCTACTGTGACTGGCTGCGTGTGGGGCTCCATCACCTTTGGGCCCCGTGAGCAGAGGCCACGTAAGACAGAGTACAAACGTGCATGCCCAGCCGGGCAGCACCGTCTGGGCGCCAGGCCTGGGCTGGGCTCACGGTGCTCCCTCCTCTCCTCCTGGAGCAGCAAAGCCCGAGGTGCTGATGGCGGCCGCACCTTGACCCCATCCCACTGAGCACCGGCAGGGCCCAGGACAAAGCCTACCACAGAATCCTTTCACAAGAGCCAACAAAGGCCACAAAGGGCCACTTGCCCAGAGTCCTGGAGTCCCAAGGGCCCGATGGCCTGGTGCAGGCACAGCCCATCCTTGAGTCTCTGCAGGATCAGGCCTCACGTGCCACTGACCTCACTCACTTTGATTTCCTGTCACTGCACCTGCCTCTTCCCACAAACTGATGTCAGTGCCAAGCAGCCAGCAGCGTCTCCCCTGTGCCCCCTCCAGCTGTGCCTGCCTGTCCCCGAGCTGCGTGTGGGGGCTGAGCCTGCAGACCCTCGTCCCCGTCCTTGTCCCCGAGCTGCATGTGGGCGCTGCTGAGCCTGCAGATGGGGGCCTCGGGCCTCCATGGCTGTCCTGCTAAGGCACTTCATCCCTTGGAACTGCTGACATTCGGGCAACCCTTCATTGTGGGACACTCAGCAGTAGCCTGGCCTCTGCCCACGTGATGCCAGCAGCACCTTCTTCCTGAGTCATGACAACCAAACTGTCTCAGACAATCCCAATGTCCTCTGGGGACAAAGTTGTGTAATTGAGTCCTTTCACCGCAGGCCTAGGGACTCGTGTGTCCCCTCCATCCCCAGAGGCTCTGGGCCAATGCTAGGCTTGGGCAGCAGTTAGCTCTGTAGGCCAACAGCGCTGACCCTCCCTGGCCAGGCCCCATGTGGCAGGAAGGTACCCTGGGTCCCGGGGGCCCGCACCGCAAGGTACCGCCTCACAGCCAAGCTAGCTCAGGGTTCCAGCAGAGCCCACAGGACAGAGCCCTGGGGCCAGGCTGCCATAGCCCAGCACTAACCACAGCTGTGCACATCCTCACAGGCCTCCCATACCCAGGAACAGGCCTCAGGCCCCAGACTGAGGGACACAGGCACAGCGGGGCGACTCTGACCAGACAGTACAGGGGTCTGAGCATGCAGGATCAGCAGCAGCTACGGTGACCATGGGGCCACTGCTGGCTGCACCACAGCCCCGTGGAAGGATACAATTCCCAAAAAGCGTCAGGACGATGAAGTAAAAGGACGAGAACATGCCTTTGCTGACTCCGCCTTGCGACTCGATCCCGTGGTACATCACTGCGTTCCAGTCCTCTCCGGTCAGGATCTGTGCAGGGAGAGCAGCACAGGGCAGGTTGCATAACCCCCCCCCACCCACACACACACGTGCACGCGCACACATGCACGCGCACACACAAATTTCTAGATGCTTCTGGAGGAAAAGGTGGCCCAGGCTTCTGCACAGAAACTTCCAGGACTTGGCTGCTGAGCTGGGTCATGTTTTAAAAAATGAATGTGCTTTAGTAGGTTTTCAGCCAAAAATGAAAGGGAGCTCCAAGCAGGAGAAAAGGTAAATAAAGGCACAGAGGAGACCACAGCAGTGAGCGGAGATGCAAGGAAGGGCTGGGGCAGAGCCCCCGACTCCCAGGGCCCAGGACACAGGCTCAGAGAGGGGCCACGGCTACGCAAAGCCGCCGACCCTCCAGGTTCCCGCCCACTGCCCAGGGCTCCGGGCTGTGAGGGTGGCTAATACCATCCTCGCCCCATCAAGAAACACAGCTCTCTTCTACTTGTATTGTTGGAAAAGACAAGAGGATAACATAACAGACACGTGTCCAGCATGGAAAAGAAAAACTTAACATTTTGTCATCTTTGCATCAGGCTCCGACAGGCAAATCCAGTCTGGGCAGAGGTAAGTTGACACATAAACTTAACCATTGTGCAATCTTTCATTTGTGATGCTTGCTACGGTCTTTTTAAAATAACATCTTTATCGAGACATTTATAATCTGTTGCCTTACAGCTTCGTCCTCGACGGCCCCCCTCACACACACACCAATCCCTGACCTAATGAGGTCATGAGGCCGATGGAACAATGTAAGTTATCTCCCCTATCTTTCTGGCCGCGGTACAGCACATCATCCTGGGGATTGAGTGCGAGTACGAAGGCACTGCAGTGTTGGAACACAACTGGGCAGGTTGATGGAAAACAGCCATAAGGCACGAATCACACAGACTTTAGAAAAAACAAGCTTCACTTCTTTGAAGTTTCCAAATAAAAGCCACGCGTTGGCCCGATCCAGGGCTGTTCCAGAGAGACTGCAGCCCCCTGGCCTCGCTTTAACTCTGTCCTTGACTCTTGTGCTTCTTTTTTTCTTTTTTTTTTTTTTTAGCTGAGCCATCCTGCCACCTGTTGGCAGCTCAGCGGCTGCTCAGCTCGGGCTGGACTCGAACCGCTGTTGCTCACAGCTCACACTCTTGAACGAGCTCTTAACCAACTGAGACACTCGGCCGGCCCGACTCTTGTGCGTCTTGAACGCTGTGCCGCCTCTCACTCCCCACTGCCCGTGCACGGGACGCGGCAATAATCAAGTCATTAAAGCGTATAATTGAGTGGTTCTCAGGACATTCACAGATATGGGCGCCCATCACCACGTTCAGTTTTTGCCTTCGTCAACCCCAACCCCTCAAAAAAGAAACTCGTAAGTACCAGCTGCTGCCCACCTTGCTATGGTTTATTTTAATCCTATTCTTACTGGAAGGTGTTTTGATCATATGTCAATGCTTTATTTTCCCACATGTACTGATGTATGCTGTTTCTTAACCTGTAGAGATACAGAAATTACACTGACAAATTCCAGCACCACTGTGATAAACACAGTTCAGCTATGAGCTATTTTACACGCAGTAGGAATTAACGTTGAATTTCAGCTGTTGTGTGTCCCTTCACTGAGTGAGCCTTTAAAGTGCCCACTGTGTGCCAGGCAGTGTCAGGCAGTTAGGGTCGTTAGTAGACAAGACAGACCCTTCTTGGGAGCTCAGAATGGCCTGCGTTTCACTTTTCGTACATTGTCCCTCCCGGGCTGTGGCTTCAGGGTTGTACTAGCCTCATGGAATGACTTCTTTCTCTGGAGCAGCTTGTCACCTGTCACCTGTCCCTTGCAGGCTTGGTGAGGCGCACCTGGTAACTCTGCAGGTGCGGGACAGGGGCAGGAAAACAGGGAGAGCTCTCTGATCCCGTTTAACAATTATAAAACTATTCAGGTTTACAATTTCATCTTGACCTAATAAGTGATGTTTTCCTGTAAACATGCACGTTTCATCAATTTTCAAATCTATCAGCAGAAAGATGCCATAATATTTGGGGGAATTTAAAAATATACCTCACTTTTCTATAGTTATCTGTCTTTTGGGCAATACTTTTTATTTGTGCCTTTTTGTCAATCAATAAAGTTATCTACTTTATCAGTCTTCTTCAGAACAAGATTTTTATGACTTTGTTATGTTGGTGTTTTTAGTTTTGTTTCATTAATGTTTGCTCTTATCATTTTTTTTCCCGCTTTCAATGTTTTGTTTTGTTTTAACTGGGGAATTGGGGAAGGGGACCAGCCAAGTTGTTGCCCTTCAATCTTAGTTGTGGAAGACACAGCTAGCTCAGCTCCAAGTCCAGTCACCATCTGGCCGCCCGTCAGCAGCTCCCAGCCACTCAGCTCAAGGTGCCGTGTTCAATTTTAGTTGCGGGCGGGCGTAGCCACCATCCACGCGGGAGTCCAACCAGCAACCTTGTTGTTAGCAGCACGTGCTCTCACCAGCTGAGCCATCCTGCCACCTGTTGGCAGCTCAGAGGCGGCTCAGCTTGGGCTCAGCTGACTGGCCCAAATGAGGCACTCGGCCTGCCAAGAGATTTTAAATGACTTTTTATTAGCGGTTTCTATTGTTATATGGAGGATGTGTTGTACAGGACAGCAATTCCTTAATGGTTGTGGGGATTTCCTGGGTGATTTAAGGAGTGGCGGCATTCTGTGACTGTCCCGTGTGCCCCGAGGACTGAGGCTCCCCCACAGCCGGTCGGTTGGGTGCAGCTGTGTGTCCGCTGACGCTCACGGCTTCCTCTGCTCTCTCACAGCCTAACTTCCAGCTTTTTCCTTCAGTTGGACAGAAACACCTTACAAATCTGTTACAAGATGCCCAACTTTTCATTTCCGTGTAATTCTCAGTTCTTGTTTAAATCACTTCAGAGCATGTTGTCGGGTCGTGTGATAAAACCTCAGGATGGTTTCTTCTCTGTGTCTGTGATCGTGACGTCTACTTTTCACATATGTTGCTTGTCTGGTCTTTTCACATCAAGGCTGGTCTGGACTCATAAATGAGTTGGCTGCTGTCCTTCTGATCTTCTCTGGTGCGGTCTGTATAAAATTGAAGTCATTTTTTCTTATTTAGTAGAACGTACTGGCAAAAGGATGTGAACGTGGCTTGGAAAGGTGGACTCTGAACTGTTCAATTTCTGAACTACTTCAGTTTTCTCTTTCTTTTTGGGTTAGTTTGCTGCATGTTTTCTTCTAAACCACCCGCTTTACTAAGTGTGTAACCGTCAGTCTGGGTGGCAACTCTCCACCCTCGTCTGACTGTGGCTGCCTCGCGCTGCACACACAGCTGTCGGGTTCGGAATTCTAGGCTGACAGGGACCTACCTGTAATGTTACTAAGTCACTTCTTCCAGACCTGGCACCACTGCTCATGAGAGGCCCACCTTCCGATTGCCAATCTTGTAGGAAATCTGTCTTTCTAGGAAGTTTTGAAGATTTTCTCCTTATCACAACGTGTCTACGTCTGGAGTGATTTTGTTCTGTGTCTTAGGCCTCCGAGCACGAGCACCATCACAGCAGATGAACAAGCACCATGTCCACCCTGCAGCTCAGCCGTCCTCTTGGGCCGCGTCCAGTGCACAGTTCACCCTTCAGATTTTTATTAAATAGCTCCATTTTCATTTCTAGGATTTTTACTTGGCTCCTTTCAATGTTAACCTACTCTTGGTTCTCAGGTGCCTCTCCTTCCCAATGCCGTGGTGTGTGCCATGAGTCAGTTCTTCCTCTAACCCTCTGTGGGTCTGAGGCAGATTCCGTCCAAGTCACCTGTGTTTGTGCAGTACCCCTCTTCTCTAGGACTGAGCTCCCTTTCCGACCATGGGTACTATCGCCCCTGATCAGTTATTTCTTCGACGGAGTCAGCTCTCAGCACATTTCATCTGCAGGTTCACCATGAACAAAGGTGAAGTTGTCTTCTTCCAAGTCACTTGCCCCCTGCCCCCGTCCCCTCTCCAACCCCATTCAGAAACCAGGGCTCCCATCCTGGGATCTCGGGCCTTCAGTCCATTATCATTCTGTGGGGCTTCCAGACGGCCTGGCCATCGAGTTGCCCTCAGCCTCCCCCAGCCCCTTAAAGGGCCACACGCCTTTTGCAGGGCTGGTGCTTCTGATGTCCAGCCCCCGACTCTTTCCAGGCTGTCCGCGGGTGCCTGGCCACCGTCCCATTTCTAACCCGCAGACGCCGTTTTCTATTGGCTGTGTCCTTTGAACATCATAAGGTATTTCTTACCTTACTGCTGTGCTCAGAGCAGAGTGGCCTGAGGCACAAATCAGAGCCTCGCCTGGTCAGAGCCCATCTTTCCCTCTAACTCTGGCCTCTTCCTCCTGGTGCCCAAACCACCACCACTCACCACGGTCAGGGCCTTTCTTACAACGAACACAAAGCAGAGCTCTGCTTGTCAATCACGCTGCCCCCGCTGTGGACCGCCTTGAAGCTCCCGCAGGGCAAAGCCTCTGGCCAGGCCGGCGTTTCAGGCCCCCTCCAAGCCGGCCCCGCCGGCCCCAGTGCCTTCCACACACACCTGTGCTCCCCCCAGACTCCGCTCACCTTCTTGCTTTTTCTGGAATGCACTCCTGCTAGTTTCCTGGCCTGGCATTCGCGATCCCCTGTCCAGCCCTTGCCTTGCAACCCCCAGGAAGTGGGCAAGCCTTCCCGGCCCCGAGCAGATGACACTGCTCAGGAAGGGCCGTGGCCATCCTCATCTTCGTCCCCACTGAGTGCTCAGGAACCTTCAGGAGGCCCAGCTGGGGAGCCCCTGGCCTGCAAGCTAGCCGAGGCTTTCACCGTCTGGCTCAGAAGGTGACAATGGTAGTGGGATGACAGGCGTCTCCACACTTAGGAAGTCAGAGGAGGGGAGAAGCCACAGAGTGACCCAACATGAGGTGAGGTGGAGGTGAGCCTCACCTCCAGGCCCCAGCAGCCTCTGGGACAAGGGCTTGCTCTGCCAGCTGTCACTACGGGCTGACTGGGTCCAGGGCTCCGGACCAGGATGAGGGAGGTCATCGGAGGCGGAGGGCACAGGCACCGGGACCGTGCTCCTCTTTCCAGCTTGGTCTGGGCATCCCTCCTTCCTTTGCAGGGATGCCCTCCCTGCACATGCTGTGGGCTCCAGCTCTGGCTAGGGCTGCGTGCGGTTGGCAGTCCCAGAGGCCGGGGACCGAGCTGAGCCCCTGGCCTGAACGTGCAGCCTGCCGGCCTTCCCTAAATGGCCTCGTAGACAAAGCGTGCCCCCACCCTGCTCGACCTCAGACGTGGCGTCTGCAGAGGGCTCGCGGGGCACAAATGTCTGGCATTACATCAGTGATGCCGATGATGGGCATCTGAGCAGCCCCTGCCCTGTACAAGGGCCTATGGGCTCCAGCAACAGAGCCTCCAGGGGCGCCCAAAGGGTTCCCACAGAGTTCGGGGGTATGCTTTGCAGATATGAAGAAAAGTAGGGGAGAAACGGGTGCTCTGTTCTCTGCACAAAGGACAAGATATGGCTGTGACGCCAGGTCCTAGGGGCTGAGAGCTGAGTGGTGGCTTGAAGCCCAGGGACTGCATCACAGGATATGGGAAACCAGCCTACCCTCGTCTCCTGTCTGTTCTCTTCTGTTGGGTGTAAAATTCTGTCTGAGTTGTGCTGAGGCCCAAGGGAGCTGACAGGAAGGCTGTGGCCCTGCACCAGGGGGCGGGAGCTGAGCAGGCCAGGAGTGTGTCGGGCGCCTTACCTGGAAGACGGTGAGGATGGCAGCAGGAAAGGTGTCAAAGTTGGTCGTTGGCGTCTCATCTTGGAAGTTGAACCTGAGAAAAATGAGACGTCTGGGGGAGGGGCAGCCTCCTCAGGAGCCAGCAGGACCTGGCATGGCAGCTATGCACCCATCGCCTGTTACAGGCTACTAGAGGGCTGGACTCTAGGATGACCTTTGGGGATGAAAAGCAGGTAGAGAAACTGGGGCAGCATTGCTGCTCTGATCTCAGAAGCCCTCCCCAGGGGCCCACTTGTGTCCCTGGAACAGCTGCTGAGCCCCGCCCACTTACTGGCCCGCCCATAGCGGCTGAGCCCTGCCCACTTAGTGCCCCCCCCCAGCTGCTGAGCCCCGCCCACTTACTGGCCCCCAAACAGCTGCATGCCCAGCAGGGCGAAGACCACGATGAACAGGAAGAGCAGGAAGAGAAGGCTGATGATGGACTTCATGGAGTTGAGCAGAGACACCACCAGGTTCCGCAGGGAACTCCAGTACCTGGGGGCAGGCAGGGTCTGAGCCCGGCTGTGCCTGGCGGGGCCCATCCGCTCTGGACCCTGACCATGTTCGCCCCGGTTCTCTGCAGTCACACCTGTGGCTTCCAGAGCCTTCTACGCCCTAAGGGACCATGGCTACACGTGGAGTGGTCCACTGGTCTCCACAGTCCCAGACCTAGCCTCCTGTCACTGGGAGCCCCATGGGGACGGCAGAGCCCACGTGTCATCTCCCAAACCTGGCCCTGTTATACTCCTCAGCAGAATGGTAAGGGCACAGTCTGCCCTGGGCTCCTCGCCTGTCCTGTCACCCCTCACCACCCGGGCCGCCTCCAGGGGCCTCCAGTCAGCGCTGTGTGAAGTGAGGGCCACAACTGCTGGCCATTGCACACGGAGCTGCCCTAAGTCAGGAGCCACACCGCTGTCCACGAGCGGGTGTCCTGTGAGCAGAGATGCACACGTCACGAGGAACCAGGGACACGGTGTGCAGTGTGAGTAAAGCAGCACTGCCGGATGACTTCCCTGGACCCAAATAGCCCCTCCCCTGCCCCTCAATGCTCCTGAGGTCAGTCCGAGGCCCTGCCGGCCAGCGGCACCCAGAACACAGGCCCTGCTCATATCTGCCAACTGCACAGAGTGATGGGTACCCTCCACCGTGGAGAGCCCCGAGTGCACGGCTGTCCCTGCAGGCACGCGGAAGCAGCCCCAGACCCCAGAGAGATGGGCCACGCGCCTGCAGCTGTCGTGACCCAGGCCGGAGCACCAAGGGCTCTGTCCTCCACTGCTCCCAGGACAGGACAGCGTGGGGTTCCTGCAGTGCTGTCTGGGCACAGCCAAGACGAGGTGGGTGTGGCAGTCTTTGCCGCTGGTACGACTGCCCTGGTGGGTGACGTGCTCTCCCTCATCCGGTCACAAGCCAGGCAGTGACCACCCCCAGTTCTCCACACTCGCTATATCACCTCTGCCCTGGGCCTCGGCCTCCTTGTGGACAAAACGGAGCCCCTTGCTTCCAGGGCTGTGAAAACACCATTCACATGGACAGGACCAAGCCCATGGCGGAGAGAGGTGCCCGGGGGAGGGGCAGTGCCAGCACTGGCCGGGTTGAGGGTCAGCCTGGTGGCAAGAAGATGAACTTCCACCTGGCAACTCCTGGTTCCTCTATTAACTATGAAACAAAGTCTGCCTTTGAGGCCTGATGGTGGGACAGCCGGTTTCCAGACAGGGGATGGTACGAAACCACGGGGCGCAAGCTGGTGGACAGTGAGATGTCCTGTCACACGGAGGCGGTCGGGATGGCTCACAGGACACAGGTGGCCCCTGACAGGCCGAGATGGGCGTGGGCTGTTTTATAACTGTCGTCCGAGTCTGTACAATTATAGGCCCCAAAAGAGACTCCCACAGCTGAGGGCGAGGCCGGCAATGTGAGACCCCAGCTACCACGCTGCCCCCACGCCCCCCACCAGGCATGCAGGGACATACTTGGTGACTTTGAAGACCCTTAGCAACCGCAGTGCCCGCAGCACACTGAGCCCAAAGGAGGTTCCTGGCTTGATGGCGGCCCAGACCACTTCAAAGATGCTGCCCACGATGACCTGCAAAGGACAGGGGTCAGCCACCAGCACTCGCCCTGCACGCGTGTGGCCGCCTCCCCATGAGCATCTGTCCACTTCCCTTGTCAGCAACGCAAGGGGGCCATGCCTCACACGCAGGGTGACACGGGGGCCACGCCTCACACGCAGCTCCTGCAGCCCCACCAATCCCGCCGCTGTTCCCTGCAATCCCCGCCCAGAGTACAGGGGATGGGTGAGGTCAGGCCTGCTGGCTTCCTGACAGGTCCTCAGGCTGCCTTGTCCAGTGCATCACCACGCCCATGACAGCCAGGTGACTCCAGGGTCACCTAATGCCGTAGGGCTGAGCAGCTGCCTATGACACTGCTCACGCACACCAGCGGGACCTGCCTCCTGTCACCGCCCCCCTGGCTGCCAGTGTTCTGTGTCCAGATTCAGACGCTTCTCTCAGGGACCATAAGCCAGCACGTGTCACCAGGAACTTATAGTGGTAAGCCTGCCCTTCGGTTTCACCGAGAGTCACCCCAGACACGGTCTGTGTGGCCAGACTGGGACTCGTGAGCAAGTGGCGTGCCCTCCTCCACAGCCGCTCCCTTACGGGCTCTGCAAAGGCCATCGTCCTGGTCAGCATCGCATGAGGGGCTCCGAAAGGGCAAGCAGTGGCTGCAGCACGGCAGACCCTCCCATCATTCCTCTGGACAGGACGCCTGGGGGCCCAGACACAGCCCCTGCCTGCCAGTGTACCCCACGGGCATGCCCGGGCTCATGCCAGCACGCGTGCCCGTCCTCTTCGTGTGTGGCTCGTCATGTCCTGTAACTGGACTTCTGCGGTTGGTGTGAAGCCCAAGTCTTACTGCCGTGGCTCGCCCATCACCCAAGCTCACATCTGCTTCAGATCTGATCAGCTCAGCGTCACGTTCTCACCACGTCACTCATGGAGACTGTGCCGGGACAGAGGCCTTGGTGGCCCATCAACCGGCATGTCTGGAATGGCGGTCACAGCAGCTGTGAGTGACCCCAATGCAGCCACCCGCTGCACACTTCACCGGGAACACAAGTTGGACAATACAGGTGACCTGCCGACATCAACACACCAATGGCTGCAGCACCTGCCGTGACCCTGGCAACACACCACGTGGGACAGGCTGGCCACAGCGTGACCGTTGCCAGGAGCTCTCCTCAGCTGTCACATGGCCAGATGCGGCCTTGGGCCGAAGACCGTCGTTTTCTAAATCTATGTCCTCCTCACCGTCACCCCTCAGCGTCTCTCCCATTTTCCACAGACCTTCTTCACAGTTTGTTCCCATTGGCTCAGCATTGAGGTGGCCTCTCAGGTTGCCTGATGGCCCCACCACGGTCTGCCCCCCACCTCCCCCTTAAACTCCTGTGCCCTTGAGTATGGGCTGGTCTTAGTAACTCATGTCCAGCAAATGGAACATGACAAAAGGGATGGGATGTCACCTGAGGTGGCACTTCAGAATAAGACTGTGGTCCCTTCTTAGCCCTGTCTCAGGCCAGCAGCTGCCATGTCATGAGGGCAGCTGGGCAGCCTGTACAGGGGCCCAGGTGACCAGGACCCGAAGCTGTCAGCAACACTTGACAGCCTGGAAGCTGCTTCTCTGAGGCCTGTCAGCCAGCGCGAGCATGAGCCCCAAATGAGCCGCAATGACTGCAAGCTCCCGCAACCTGGAACGGGGCACTGGGTTAGGTCACACCGAGCGAGAGGTAACAACTGCTTATTGCTTTGGGGCAATGTCACATAGAACAAAAACCAGTGCCGTTTGGAGGATGAGGCACCGCTGTCCTAATGGCCAGACGTGGGCAATTTTGGAAGCTGAGCCCGAAGTGCCCGAGACACAGCCAAGGGGTGCCGTACACGGGACAGTCCCGGGAGGCAGGGCCTGCTGTGCGTTGGCACAGAATGTGACCTGTAGCTACGGGAAGAGCAGAAACGTGCTAATGAGCCCAGGAGGCTTCCAAGCAGAGGGCTGACGATGCCACCTGGTGTCACAGGACAGAGAAAGTGAGGAAACTGCTGTTCAGTAAAAAGCAACCGGGACTTGCTGGCTTGGAAACGCTCAGCCTCTCCAGATAGTAAGTAACAGGAAGTGGCCTGTCACCGGGAAGCACAGCAAAGCGTGCGGAATGCAGTCAATGACGTGGTAATAACTGCGTAACCAGGTGGGCACTGACTAGTCAGGAACCACTTCTTAAACTATACTAACATCTAACCACCATGCTGGACATCTAAAATTAATGTATTATTGTCAACAGTAACCGAAAAATTTTAAACGGGGGAAAGGTGAAGGGGAATAAGAGGCTCAGATCTCCAGGTGTAAAACAAGTCACGGGATGTCATGTACAGCACGGGGACTATAGTCAACAATGTTGTGACAGCGTGGGATGGAGTCAGATGGCTGCTGGGTTTATGGTGATCACTTCCTTAGGTCTGTAAATGTTGAGTAACTAACGTGTACCTCTGAAGCTAATATAATATTGCACGTTAACTATATTTTTAATAAAGAGCTTTAAAAGAAAGTTGAGGCCTGGTGTGATGATGGGGCCACGCATGGCTGAGACGTCTAGGCTCCCAAAGAGCCAGCGCTGCTCAGTTCAGAGGTTGCTGGGCACCTTGCAAGGGGGCGCCAGGAGGCCTAGGTGCTCGGGGCCATGGACGTGCTGGCCTGGGGTGGCGGCGGGAGCTCAGGCCCAAGGGGTTGATCCCTAACATGGCTGTGGGTTGGTGTTCGTTAATGAGTGAGCTCCCAGGTTTGCAACACCAAGGCCCCACCAAGGCCCTGGAGACAGACATTTGCAGAAACGTCACCATCTCGGCATGAGAGGGGCAGACACAGCACAATCAAAAGGCATCGAGACACCCAAATCCTACCAGCAGGAAGCAGCCTGGGACGCTGTCGACTGAACACATGCTACCTTCATGAAAAAGGGAAGGTGACCAGGGCAAAACCAGGGCCCGGAGGGCTTCCAGGCCCTAAGTAGGCACTGTGGCATCGCCAACGCCCGCCCGGCAGGACTCCAGCATCGCTGTGGTCCAGAGGCTCTCTGGGGGTCCAGTGTCCCCTTTCTGAGCAGGTGTCCACAGCACTCGTCCGCTGCGTGGACCACCACCCCGTGTGCTGTGTGGGGTGGGTGTGTCGTCTCTAGCTCCCTGCACCTGCAGGCTGAGAGGGACCTGGCAGCTGCGCTCAGACATTCTGGACTCGGAGGATGAGCCCTCGGGGGACCGGGCAGAGCTGAGTGCGTCTCACATTGTGGGCAGTAATGGGCTGTGGTGGCCCCAAGGCTCCTGGCCTCCTGGCACTTACATCCTTGTGTAACATCCTCCCCCCCAAACGCAGGCTGGGCCTAACTCCAACAAGTATACCACCAAAAACTGATGGCTCCTGTCTCTGAGATAGAGCTCTGGGGCTTCCGTCGTNCCCCCCCCAAACGCAGGCTGGGCCTAACTCCAACAAGTATACCACCAAAAACTGATGGCTCCTGTCTCTGAGATAGAGCTCTGGGGCTTCCGTCGTGGGTCCTCTCTGTCCTCCTCAGATCACGAGCTGCCAGGTCCTGAGGACACTCCAGTAGCCAGTGGAGGCCCATGGAACCACGGACCGAGGTGACCAGCATGTGAGTGAGCCTGGAAGCTAGTCTAACAGCTGCATGACAACCCGAAAGTAACTCTCCCATCCTGACCAGCTGGTCCCCGGGCCCCAGGTAGGCCGCAACTGAACTCCCAGCCCATGCAAATGGGTCGATAACAGACACTTGCCATTTTCAGCTACTATGTTTTGGAATAACTTGTTAGCTTATGTGCAATTATGCCCATGTTCTGGAATCCACTAGTTCCGATGAGAAGCCTGAACAGCTTTAAAAGATTTATCGTCTGACAGCTCCTCCGTCATGGGCTGTTTCTGCAGCCGAGAGCCCATCAGAACCATGGTGCCCATGTCTCGGGGCGTGCCCCGGGTAGCCTCATGTCCCCGCACAGACCATAGGTGGCAGGGCCTGGTACAAATCGCCCCAGGCTCGGGAGGCAGACTCGGGCATGAGACCCTGCAAACTGGCCAGGCAGTCCTGGGCCCCGCACACAATGGCCCCAGCTCGTATCCCAGGTGAGTGTGGAGGCGAGGGTTTAACCATCAGGCACAACGTCCTGTCAGCTGCCGCAGCCACTTGAGAGCAGGCCAGTCACTGAATTCCAGTCCTGCCTTACTTCCACTGAAGCTCCAGGTCCCGCCTGGCCCTGAGAGCCCCGCGGAGATGCAGGTCCTCCTGGGGTGGCACCTCCACTTCTCAGAGTCCCCAGGTCACAAAGTGGCCTCTGGGCAGGCCTGGCTCTGGGCTCAGCACTGGACCTGCTGTGCTGGGCCCGTGGAGGCAATGCCCGTCCACGTGAGCCTTCCTTCCAGGGCTCCTTGAGCCACGGGGCTGGTGAAAGGACCCAGCCAGGCTGCTGCTCCCCAACCCCTCGAGGGGGTTCCCCTGGGGGCGCTGCTGTGTGTGTCCAAGCCTGCCCAGGGCCAGACCTGCAGGACGCCAGGGAGAGACCAAGCCGTCCACTGGACAGCAACACCCTGAAAACACCGCTCTTCCAGACACAGAGGGGCCACAGAATCCTCAGCTGACCTTGAAGTCCACATGCAGGGTCAGGGGATAGAAGGAGGATGTCCTACAGCCCCCCTGCAGCTGGCACACATCCGTCCCTCCCACCCCGGTCAAGGCCTGACCGGGACCGGCCACCTGTCACAGCGCCTGCCTGGCTGCAGGTAGCCTTTCTGACCCACAGGAGATCACAGTCCCGAGTCCGAGACCCGGGCTCACGGGGTCTAGCACAGACCCGCCGGACCCCAGCAGGCAGCACTGATGAGGAGGTGCACTCACCCCGAAGTCGAAGCAGTTGAAGGAGGAACGGAAGTAGCTTCTGGGCCCCAGGCCATACATCTTCAGGGACATCTCTGTGAGGAAGAGACCCAGGAAAACAAACTCTGCAAAGTCTAGGAGAAGCCGGAGAAGAGGGTGGTTAGCTCGTGGCCTCCTCCCCCTTGGCTGCGGCCCAAGCCCAGGGCCTTCCGGTGGAGCCGTCCAGGCCTGGTGGGTGTCCCCGGCCTCTGCAACTTAGCCCAGCACAGGAGCCAACGGCCTGGGAGGCAGGAGAGGGCTCACTCCACTTTGCAGGTGGCGAGTGCCCAGTGCCTGTGGAACACAGCAACGGCCCAGCAGGGGGGCTCCCAGGACTGGGCTCAGGAGTGGGTTCTGGGGCACGGGGTACCCCCACAGGAGGGCAGAGGGCCCGCAGCCCGTCCTTCAGCCTCAGTCCCTTTCGCCCCACACTCTGGTCGCAGGTGGAGTCCCTCCTCCCCTCTTCAGAACTCTGTCTTTCCAAGAGGACCCCCACAGGCCACCTCAGGACACCCAAGGCACCATGCTTGCTTTCCACTTTGTTCACAGACTCGCCCACCACCAGAGCGTCCCCAGACCCAGCTGGACGCGGCTCCCGCGAGGCACGCTCTGTGAGTCACACAACCCCTGCAGCCATCTCACCTTCCCGCAGGCCGGGCCCCGCAGGAGTCCCACCTCAAGCTGAGCCATGCAGGGGACCCAGGCACACAGACAGTGCCCCCGATGCAGCCCAAGCAGAAGCCGCGGTGGGAGCAGGAGGCAGCAGAAGCCGTGGGAGGGCCCAGACAGCAGGACATGCAGCCGCCCGGGGACAGCAGACATCACAGCAAGGTCACTGTCTCTAACCCTACCCGGGGCGTTGAGCTGGAGCCTGCTACTACCTTGTACAGGAGGCCACAGGCACTGCTGCTGAACCAGAGCAGCAGCTCGGAACCGAAGGCAGGCCCGCCAGAGGGCCAGGGCAGGAGGAGTGAAGGGCCAGCCTCCCAGGCTTCCGGGGGCCCCTGGCATCCAGCCTGCCGTCACTGTGCACCTGGAGTCTGCTCTGTCCCCAGCTCTCCGCCAAGCGCTGCACGGCAGAGCCCCCACCCCTGGGCGAGCAGACACCAGCTCCACTGCCCACTGGGTACCAAGCCTCAGAATGACACACACAAGTCTCGGCAAGGGGCCCCTCCTGGGAGCAACCTGCCCTCTGAAGCCAGCCAGAAAGTCACCAGGGCACCCAGGCATACGTGGCACGAGCAGTGAGGAGGCAAAGCAGCCACCCTGGGAAGCTGAGAGGCCATATCAGGAGCACAGGTGCCCGCTGACCCTCAGGCAGGACCAGCTCGGGCCTGCCACACCCTGAAGGTCTGGCTAGCAGGCAGGACGGTGGTGGAAAAGCTGTTACCTGCCTCCTGCAACGTGCAGCTCGCAAGGCCCCAGCAGCCTGGAAAGACCCGAGGCCCCAGAGCCCCTCCACAAGAGATCACAAAGGCGCCCTGCCCCTTGGGGGTCCCCACAGGAGGCCCTGGAAGCTGAAGCCCCGAGACCTGCTCGAAGGGAGTAGGGACAGGAGCTGCCACAGGCCAGACCACCAGAGAAGGTCCCCGCACCCCTTCCGCCTCCACTTCAAGCCTAGCCCCCCAAGGCCAAGGGACAGTTTGTTCATTGTTGAGTGGCTCATCCAGCTAGTTGCTGTGAGCTGCCATGAGCTGGCAGGGGACATGATTACTGCCCCAGGAGTTCACAGGCCAAGGGGGAGCAGAGGCAGTAACGGTGACAGTGTCTGCAGTTACAGGAAAAGGGCAGCATGCTGTGAGAACACAGGGACAGACAGGAGGATGGTCGGGTCTATCTTGTGAGGCCAGGGAGGCTCAAAAGGAGCGTGGGCCCAGGGGCCAGCGGCGTGCGGGAGCTCAGCGCCCACGCCTGCCTGCCTTGGCCATTCAAGCCTCAGTCTCGGGGTTCCTGGCTCCCTGACGGACAGACAGCCAAGGTGCACAGAACCCACTCTCTACAGGGCAGCCAGCTGCAGGCCAGGGCCCATGGGAGCTGATGCTGCCCAGTCCTGACAGGCAACCCTGCTGCCCTCACTCACTGCGTGAGCCTCCCTCTGCTCCAGCCCAGCCGGCAAGGACGGAGCCTACACGGAGCACAGGTGCCCACACCCGGAACACACCCATCTCTCCCTCCAGCCACTTTCCCTGGGTGATGCCGGTGAGCTCGGGAACTCCCAGGAGACCACAGAGATGACAAACCAGCAAAGGGCAGAATCCTGAGGTCTGCCCAACACCTGACACTGCAGCCCTGGGCACCCCAGCCTCAGGCACTTCCAGCCCTGGGCTTCCTGGCCCTGGGTCACCGAAGCCCCCAATGCCCAGCACCCCAGTCTCAGGTACCCCAGGCCTAGGTACCCCAATGTATCAGACATGCGACCACGCCATGCAGGTGGCAAAAGCAGGAAACAAGGACCAGACTGACAGGCACCCAGGGCTCTCTGCTGGGAGAAAAGGCAGCCTGGGAGCCCACTGGCTGGGGCAGGAGGAAGCTGTCTCCCTGGTGCCCACCCAACCCCCACAGGTGGGAGACTGGCCTGAGGGCTGAGGAGATACTGAACTCAGTCCCCAGAGACCGGACTGTGGGCCCCCGGACACATGCCCGGAGGCCAGAGTGGGCAGCTCAGGGCACAGCAGCTGCTCCCTAACCTTCACTCCGGAGCCTGAACCCGCGCCCCCTGCTGCCGCCACCTCTCGTCCTTTCCCGTCACACAAGACAGAGACTTCAACGCGAGAGTGGGGACTGTAGCCCAGAGTCCCACCCCATCCACTGTCGTGGGGTCTGAGGTGCCTCCACAGCTCAGAAGAGCCCCAGCAGCTACTCAGGCTCCTGGTCCCAAAGAGGGAGCGTGGCTGGCCCGCCTGGGCAGGGCTGGCAGGCAGGAGGCTTCTCTGGAGAAAGGGCTCCCTGGGCACCTCAGCCAGCTGCGGGCACCCACACAGGGCTCCCATGGAGAGAGGCCCAAACAGCCCTGTGTCCAGGTCACCAGACACCAAGGCGGGGTGAGTGCAGCTGACCCCTGGGGACAGAAGTTGTTAGCGGACTCTGTCGTGTGAGCATGAGGGCTCAGCCTGCAGTGTCAGCCCCGGGCCCTGCGGAGGGGTGAGGGGCCCCCAGCCCTAGGCCCCTTCCTCTTCTCCTCCTCGGGACTGTAACCACGGCCAAGACAAATCAGAAAGAAACGGGAGAAGCCAGAAAGGCCTAGACGCTCTCCTCAGGGACCGGGCAAGCAGCCACCGTGGGCAGAACAGAAGGCAGCCAGGACCCCAGGTCCAGGGCGCGGAGGCCTCGCAAGGAAGGTCACGGCGGGCCCTTCTTCCCCAGGCACTGACGCCCCGGTCCTGTCACCCCGGCCTGACGGTCCACTGGGCTCGGCTGGGCAGCGCAGGGAGGGGCAGGGCGGGGCTACGTACACAGTGCCGTGGTCAGCCGCTGCGGCTGCTTGTGGTGCACCATGGCCACGCACAGGGTGTTGAGCGCCACCACGCACAGCACCGCCCAGTAGAAGCTCTGTGCCTTCACCACGCGCCGCACCAGGAACCGGAACTTCTTCTCCTTCCTGCGCAGGTAGGACGCGCTCTCGGTCCTCCCGCTCTTGAGGCCGGGCCGGGCGAAGGGGGAGCCTGCGGGAGAGGGCTCGCTGAGGTCACCGTGGCGGACACGGCGCGTGCAGCCACCTTCAGGACCCCTGCCGCACACGCCTGACCCCATACGCCGCTTCCGGGGACACTTGTCCCCACGCCGAGCTTGAGACCCCAGTTCCGGGCACCCACACGTCGTGCCAGCCGCCCCGCCCCCAGTCCACACGTGCGGAAACCGAGAGCCTTGTGGGTCGCCACGGTTGCTGGGTCCGAGGCAGACCTGGACTGGAACTGCGTCCGGGCCCAGCACCCCTGGCCACCTCCCAGGCCCCCAGCTCCTCCCCTGGGGAGTCCTGCAGCCTCTGACCCTCCCGCCTCCTTAATTCGGGTCAGCAGCCACTGGCCACCTGTGTGTACGGAGTTGCACTGAAACACAAGCCCCTCCACTTCGTCTCGTCTGTGGCTTCTGCCGGGCACAGCACAGCCTTGAGCACGGCCCACCCCCACGCCGGCTCTGCCCCGCCTGGGCCAAGCGGGCATGCTTCCCACAGCCAACCTCCTGCCCAGGGGGACCCACAGCCCCTGCCTGATGCACTGGACCACGGGCAGCGAGAACCAGTCAGCCCTGCCAGGAGAAAGGCCTCCTAGGACACTGCCCTATGCTGCCACCTGCCCAGGGCCCACACCAAGCCGTCCCCACAGCCACACCCATGCTCACTCAGCAAAGGTACAAGCCCACAGTGGCGTCCACAGCCACGTCTGCACAACAGCACACTCCCCGCGTGGACCCCGCAGCTGCTCGCTCTAACGGCCACTCCAGGGGACGGTGCCACAGCAGGACCCAGGGCTCTGAGCGGCCCGAGGGAGGCGCTGTGAACGCCTTGCTCAGCGACTGCGCCCTGGTCAGGTCTCCAGCCCAGACACCGGCCCCCACACGGCAGTGCCCCTGACACTCCGCTGGTTCTCCAACACGCATCTCAAATGCACATGTCCTAACCTGGTTCCGGACAGAAGCCCCCCACAAAGCACACTTGTCGGCAGTGACCCATCCCACAGACACTTCCTCTGCAGCTATCCTGACACCTTTCTCTCTCACGCCCACGTCCAGTTGGTCAGCAAATCCTCTGGGCTTGTCTTCCAAATATATCCAGAATGCCGCCACCTCCAGACCAGAGCCGCCATCTGTTGGATTCCTACAGCGGCCTGCAGACTGGTCCCCTGCCTCCCTTTCTGCACTCCAGTCCCCAGCCGGCAGCTGCCACCAGGTGACGTCTCCCTCTGCAGACCCACTGTGGCTGCTAGAGTCCCTCTTGGGCCCTAGCCCACCATGACCCTCGGATTTCCTCCGACTGCCTCCCCACCCCTGTCCAAGTCACTTCGCTCCAGCCACACTGGCCTCCGTGACATTCCTACCTCCGGAGCATGTCACTTGTTGCTCAGAATGTTCTCTCCCAAGCGTCCCTGGGGCTGACTTCCTCACTTCCTTCAGCTCTTTACTCAAAGGCGGCCCCCAGACCCTTCATGCCCGCTCCCTTCTCTACTCTCCTGTCCTTTGCACACACAGCACTGACACGCTGTACATTTCATTTGGTATCTGCTTCGCCGGCTGCTGTCCCCACTGGAATAGAAATGCCACAAAGATGAAGGCTTTGTCTGGTTCTGCAGCCCCGGTGCCTCACGACGTGCCCAACACGTATGTTGAGTGAACGAACGAACAAATGAGGCAAGACAAAGCATGAGCGAGAGCGAGTGCCGCATGCAGCTCTTAGAACACGCGTGGAGGCCAAGAGCTCGGACGGGTTCCCGACAAAGCCCATTCTGTAAAATAGGCCCAGTGCTTTCCACTTCTTAGCTAGATGGGTTCAGTTTTATCTCACCTTGAAAGAACAGATAATTTACGTGTGATTTAAATGGTTTCATGCCATAGAAAAAGATTTTTTAAAGACTCTCCAATTCATTTTACAAAATTAGCATAAAAACACTAGGTAAAATAGGAATACAGACAACTATAGCCCACATGATAAACTTTAAAAATTGTAATGAAATTCCGATTCACAACATAACATCAGTCTCTTACTAACAAACAAACAGCACAATAGGAAAATTGACAGAGCACAAAATCACTAGCGGTAAGTGAAATGAGAATTATAGTCTCAATGTAGTATCACTTTATAATCACCAAATTGGCTTCAAACTGGCAAAACTCAAAGGCAGCGGCAACGTGGAACCAGGATGGGGCACGTGTCGTCGTCCTGCACTGTGGGTGGGGGTGGTGTCACAGGGCCAATCTGGAGAGCAGCAGCCCGGAAAGGCACACACACCCCTGGCCTCAGGAGCCCTGCTCCTGGGGACCTGCCCACAGAGGCAAGTCTGCTAAAGAAAGGCTGATATTTATAGGATTTAGGGGAAAACAAAACCGACAAATAAATGAAGGGCCCTGTGGGGTCAGCTGATGAGTTAGGCAGTAGCACAAAGGCAACGGGCCACTCACCACAGCAAATCGGAATTAGACTGATTGATGGGGGGGCTTCCAGGTGGTGGAGAGAAATGTGTATGAAATCACTTCTATAACACACAGGGCCCGAAACTCTACAATATGTGCACGTGCGTGTGCGTGTGTGGCGTGAGATGAGCGTGGAAGGGTAAACTCTATGCCTAGAGGATTCCTAGGTTTGGGTGGGGACAGGAAAGGGAAAGTGTAAATCAATAACACCGAGAAACGCAAACAACTTCCATTAAAGACTGCTTTTTCAGAAAAGTAGCAATGTGACGGGAAACATGTTCTAACTCAGGTCCACTCAGACTGCTGGGCAAGGACGTCACTCAGTGAAAAGCGGCCACTGCATGTGTCAGATCCACCCAGCTGAAGGCAGGGCCCGGGCTGAGCCTCCCCTGCCGCCCAAGGCACAGCAGGGCGCCTGGTGCTGGACAGCAGGGATCGAGAATGGCTCTGCTGCGTAACTATGCAAGTTTCCTTTTACCGTGGGGGAAACGGGTGAAGCCAGGGGCCTCGGAGGCAGCAGGCTCCAGGAATGTGGAGGACAGATGGGTTTAGGGGAGAGGTGACTGGAACCTTTCCATCTCTCGAGTCAGGGACACCCGCGGCCTCCAGCCTTGCGACAGGCTGGAGGGCCCCATGTTCACATGGCAGAGAGCAGCGCCAAGAGCGGCTAGCAGCCAGTGAGGTGTATGGAGAGAGATGAGCAAGGGGCTGCAGGAGCTGGACACACAGCCTGCCTGCCTGCCAGACGGGAGGGCGGAGGGGAGGAGTGGCCCAGAGAGCTGGGAAGCCTGGGAGACCGGCGGGCTCAGTTATGTACCCAGTTACGGGCCCACAGAGCCAGGAGGATCCAGAGAGACTCACCGACCGCACAGAGGTCTGCAAACCGGTCCTCGCCCTCCTCTGCGTGGATCAGGTCGTTCCGGCTCTTCTTGCTGGCCGCTCTCTTCAACACTGCTTTAAACAGGGGGCGGGAGGGGACCGTCAGCTGAGAAGGTGATGCTCCTCCCGGGACTGGTGGTCTGTCCTGACCTCCTATCCTTAAGTCGAAACTGAAGGAGGCAGGACAAGCGCGGGTCCCTGTGGGCCCTTCTTGGTCCTCAGAACAAAGGGACAAGAAATTCTGAGGGTGGGCCCATTTGCTTCTCTCCGCGGTGATGTCGGTGGGGACGGCCAGGCCGCAGCGGCCCCGGCAGCGCAAGGCGAGGGGAGGCCGGCCGCTGGATCGGCCACGTCTGCAGACCTGCTCAGGGCCCCGATTGCGGGCCCCGCTGGGACCACGGCAGGCGCGGCCGGGCTGTGTGGCCCTGCCCCAACCAGCGGGTGTGGGAGGGCGGCCCTCCTATTCCTTGGGGCGGCACTGGCAGCGGGGCCGGTGACCACGGCGTGCTGGCCCGCACCCCAGCAGCCCCAGGCGCGTCTCTCCGTGGCCACGTGTGGGCAGCATCACCCTGAGCCTCGGGGACAGACACGGCGCGGTTTAGACCAGCAGTTTTAAAGCTCGTCTACGATGACGTGAGCGGTCTGTCCTCACTGACGAGCACGGTCGCCACCAGCGCCATCTGGCCACGCGGCACCTGAAACGCGGTGAGTGGGACGAGCCGGACGTGACGCTTCACAGTCACGTGCACGCGGCCGCGCTGTGCGCACAGACTGCTGGGACCACGGGGCGGCCGAGCCCCTGCCCGCGACAGCCCCTCCGTCCGCGGCGGCACCCCAGAGCTCGCCGCTGTGGGTTTTTGTTTTGTGTTTCTTTCCCGAATAAATCCCTTTTTGGGCAACCACCTAGGATATTGTTTGTCCGGTTGACATAGGTAGTCGTTGTTAGCGCCTCTTGCGGAGCGCGGGCGCCTGGTGGTGCTGTGGGCGGCGCCACGTCCACACCTCTGCGCGCTTGTGCGTGAGCCTCTACGGTGCCACAGACCCACGTTCCCGGGCCTGGGCGCCGCCCTTGTGCGGGGAGGCCCGTGCCCACGTGCAGCTTCGGCCCTCCTCTCCAAGATGGCTGACCCCCCCCCCCAGGCCCTTAGGACCATAGAGTTTAACAGGAAGTCAGGACTAGAGGGGAACAGGAAGTCCAGCTCCGCCCAGACCGCCCAGCTCCGGGATCGGTTCTCTTAAGGAGCCAGCGCGCCTTTACCACCTACCGTCCAGCGGGGACTTCTCCTCCGCGTTCTTGTCCTCCTCGGCCAGCATGACTTCCTCTGTGAGCGAGACAGGACACAACTCAGGTGGGGACTCCTATGCCGCCCCGGCCACCGGGGCCCCTCATCCCCCAGACGCCCGGGACGCACGTGCACCTGCCTGCAACACCCTGCCCTTCCGGACACCTGTGGGCCCCGCGCTGAGCTCTTCCTACCCAGACACAAACCTCGCTGTGTCCCACCGACAGTGCCCCGTGAAGACGGCCTGGCTTGTCCCCACTCACGTCACTCCCCCTGAGAGCGGCCACCCACTAGGTGGGCTCCCCACTGACCAGACGCTTGTGAAGCCTGACGAGGCACAAGCGGGCGCCCCTCGTGGAGGATGGAGCCCAGGGCCGGGGCCGGGGCCAGGCAGTCAGCAACCCCCGGCTCGAGGCGCGCAGGGCCCGGACTCAGAAGGGGCCCGGGTTAAGGGCTGGGCACGCGGGCCTCACAGAACGAGCTTCGGCTGGGCAGTTTGGGACCCTCCACTGGGAAGGCCCGGGGCCGCCGGCGTGGGGACCTGGGTGAGCTAGAAAAGCACCCCTCCACTACAAAGCCCCGTCACAGCACCTCTGCTCTCCTCCGCTCCCAGGGCCACTGTCCCCAGCTGGCGACCAGAGAGGACGTGGCGAGAGGGAACCGATGGCAGCGCCGGTTCTCACCGGCCTTGAAGATCCACTCCAGGTACCCGTTGAGCTCCCGCTCGATCTGCTGCTGCCGCCGCAGCTTCAGGAAGGCCCTGCGGTTCTCCACCCGCTCGCGCTCCTTGGCGAACTCCCTGTGGGGCAGACCGACGACCACGGTGGGTGGGCTGGCAGAGCCGCAGCCCCGCAGCTGTGCCCAGGGGCTGGGACCGCAGGTGCGGCCACACCCCGCCCTTCCAGGTGAACCCTCTTCCAACCTGAGCACTCAGAGGGCACAGGAGAACCCACCCTGCTCAGGCCTGGGTCCCCAGACAGCGGACTCCAGAGGACGGGGACAATTCCACTGCCCCCTCTGCGTGCCAGCCCTGTCACCTGCCATCCTACAGAGAGCTTCTGGACAAGAATTTGCCAGTTGAGAACTTTCACTTTGTTTCTTCTATTGGTTGAGACGCAAAGCCATTGCCAGAAGGAGGGACAGACAGGAACAGGGGAAGAAAAGAGTGGGCCAGGGACAGAGGTGGTCGCTCTAGAGCCACTAGGTCCCGCCACGAGCTGCTGAGGCCCACGGCAGGCAGGAGGGAGCTATTCTGGCCCACAGCGTCCAGCCCCGAGCCACGCCGCAGGCTCGCAGTGCCAGAAGGAAGCTGTTCACAGGCACAAGAGCACGCACACGCGTCCAGCATGGCCATCCTTTCTCAGCTCAGGCTGGGGGCAGAATCCAGGTCCCCAAAGGGTGGGCAGGCACACGCCCACGGCTAATCCGCAATGCCTGTTCTCAGCAGCTCTCTTCCAGGAAAAGCAGCTCTGGGCTTGTGGCGTGGGCCTGGCACGCCTGATTCCTGGCACACAGCCACGGTGACAGGGAGAGCTTGGCTCTGACCAGGCCTGACCCCTAGCCCGTGGCGAGCATCCACCCTGGGGCCTGAGCTGCAGCAGCCCTGGCAATGAAAGCAGCTCCCGCCTGGACCTCCCACCCCACCCCAAGTCCTGCATCTACGGGAGCACAGGGGCCCTGAGAACAGGAGGGCCTGGGGGGTAGGGTAGGGCAGTGACAACACTGCTGAGTCAGTCTGAGGGCCACCAGCTAGCAGTGGGCCTCCCCTCTGAGGCTTCAGCCTCACCAGGAAGGGCCACGAGAAATCACCAACTCTGCTGTCTGGGACGTGGGGGGGCGGGGGGGTGCAGGGGATGGCCCAGGCGGGGAGAACAAGCCCCCTTGGCAGCTCTCACCCAGACATGGCAGAACTGTGGCTGGGCCAAGCCTTTCCCCAGCCTGGCCGTCCAGGGGCATTAATGGCCGCAGCCTTAGCACACACCCACCAGGAAACACGCATGCTCTGTGCTGACTCCTGGCTCTGGGAGCCCACACTGGGGGGCTCGGCGAGAACCCTGCGGTCCTGTGCTGGACCTGTACACCTGAGGGAGGCCCAGCTGAGCCTGATGAGGAAAAGCACCCAGAGGTAAGGATGGGCACAGGTGGGAGAGGGCTGGGGACACGGACCCTACCCCAGTGTCCCCTGCCACCCCCAGGCCTTTCTGCACATTCTCCAGTGGCTGCAGAGCCACCCTGAGCAGGCTGTTCTCCCGCCCACCACAGACCCACTGGCATCCCTGCTAGCCTGCCCACCGAGCTGTCTGCAGTGCAGAGCCTATGCTCCCCACAAGCGGCTGCCTACAGCCTCCAGCCCACTCCCCACTGCACTCTGGCTCCGGCTCTGAGGGTCCCCCACAGCCCACTCCCCACCCCCTGTACCTCTGGGCCCCCACTCTGCCCGGAAGACCCCTCCCTCCTTCGCCAAGCCCATTCCTGGTCCCCTTGGGGTCTCCGCTGAGATGCCCCTCCCCCAGGAGCCTTCTGAGCCCCGACCCCCATCCAGCTCTGGCATGTAGCTCCCTAAACAGGAGTTCCACGTGCCCCCTGCACTGTGGGCGTGCCTGGTCCTTGTGGAGGGGCTTGGGAGGACATGCTAGTGACACTAATACAGGGCAGGCCGAGGCTAAGGACACATCCCAGAAGACCAGAAGAGCCGGAGCACGTAGGCCTTGGCCTAGCCACAGCCCTCTCTGTGGCTGTTCCTTTCCAGGCCAGTGTGACTGCTGTCCCTGGGGTCCTCCAGGCTCTCCTCCCAGCCCACAGCAGGACGCTTCAGGGTGAGAGGAGGGGAGACGTTCTCCTCCAGCCTTACAGGGAGTCTGACAACAAGGTGGGGCAGGGGGCAGGCCAATGCCCTCCACCCCCATTCCAGGAGGGTCCTCGGCCCAGGAAGGCGTGGTGCGCCCACAGGTGTGCTCCCTCGCACTCCCAGCGTTCTGAAGGAAGGGCTTTCAGCATTGCGACCTCCCTGTCCACTCCTGGAGGAGCCTGAAGTCAGATGACCGGGGTGGGGAGATGTCAGGTGGCAACAGGACTGGGGTGGGGAGCCACTAGTGAGCGAGCTCGGCTGCTCCCCTTGTTCTCGAGGCACAGCTGTCCAGAAACCTGCAGTGGGCCCAGATGAGAGGCAGCAGCAGCCCCTCCGCCAGTCAGAGGCCACAGTGCTGTCCAAGGTCGGGACAGAGGTAAGGAGGCCAGGGCCAGGGGGCCGGCAAGGCTGGGGTCGGGATGGCAGCAGAGACCAAAGGTTGGCTAGAGCTCAGCATGCTGAGAGAGAGCACCATGGAGCCGTAGCCATGTGGCCAGGCCAGCCCCGCGTCCCCCATGTCACATGGCCTGCATCTGACTCCATCACCTCCCCCGGCCTGAGAAGACAGAGGGGCAGCACACAAGCCTGCACGGCTCTTACCCCGAGAGCACGCCCAGGACCAGGTTGAGCATGAAGAAGGAGCCAATGATGATGAGAGGGATGAAGTAGAGCCAGTTCCAGGTGTTGCCGGCTGCATCGTTTGTCTGGAAGCAAGAAGACATGAGGAAGGACCAGTCACAAGATACAGCCCCGGCCCCAACTCCAGCACCTGGCAGAGTCTTGGCAGGGCGAGTCCAGGCAGGACTCAGGGTCATACCTGCCTGCCCATGCCCCACAGAGCTCTCTGGGGCTATGGCTCCCAAAGGACTGAGGACGCTCAGCACTCCTGGCCACTGCCCAGATATGGGGTCGTCCCAGGGAGCCACAGGCTGCCCAGGGTACCTGAGGGCTACATGCCTGGTTCTGCCAGGACGCCTCCCTCCCCTACGGCTTCCAGGCGACTGGACTAATGAGGCAGCTCCTCTGTGGAGCCCACAGGTCCCAGGGCCCAAGGCTCATCTGTCTGCAGCGGTTCCACAGCCTGTGCCACATGTGCCCCAGATCAACAGCAAGCTCCCAGGTTCCCAGGGAACAGCCTCTGCCACATGCCTGGTCCGACACAGGGCCCCGTGCTCAGGCATGGTCTACATAACTGAAAGAAAGAAGGGCCATCTCCCCAGGACGAGTGGTTTCTATAGCACAGCTCACAGAAGGGTGAGTTCCTCGAACCCCATTAATTTCCAGTTGTCATCTGTTTATGGGTTCCCAGTAGACTTGGCTGAGAGGGCGGAGAGCCTCTCACCGTCCAAGTCTAGTGCCAGAAGTCGACCCCGAGGGTGTGAGTGCGTGGTAAGTGACCACCTGGCCCCTCTGCACCTCCTTCAGAGAGGCAGGAGGACAGCCCTAGGCTGGGGCTGATCTCCAGGGGCTGCTGTCGGGACGCCACCCTCCGTGTCTGCGGGCCCAGGCAGCGCTTACAGACTCGGCCCCTAGAAGTCCTAGGTCCCCTGGAATGATAGCTTGTAATTATTGGACACTGACCCACAACAGACACTCAGACTCCCAACTCTTAAGTGCCATCCACATTCCCTGACCACACCTCTGCCAGACCCACGTGCCACTCCGACCTGTAGGCTACAATGACCACCACAGCCACCAATGTCCCTGAAGGACACCCTCAAAGCTGCTCCTTCCTGGGGAAAAGGAGACGGGCAGCTGCACCGCGGCCTCAGCCTCTCACCTGCTCGAGGACTGGGCTCCTGCACGTCCCCTCTCTAACAGAGCCTTCCTGCCGGCGGCCAGGTCACTGTTCTCAGCTTGACAAACAGATCAAACCAGGACTGACACTCCGGGGAAGACGGAGCAGACATTCTTCCTTATTCTTCCCACTAACTATGACGAATACCCTGGCATCACATATAGAACGAATATAAAAAGACTCTGAAAAGGTGGAGGAAAGAAAAGAAGGCAGATAGGCGGGGACCTCTAGGCCCTCCGCCAGTTTGTTTCTTGCCTCATACATCCCAGGCCTGTAGCTGAAGAAGCCGGCAGCCTGGATGTGCCAACAGGCACAGGAAAAAATGCAGTAACGAAAGCCAGCATTTTCTCCAACCAAAGGACAGGGAAGAGGGCAGCCTAGCAAGACAGAAAACTTTAGACAATCACTGCATTACTCCAGCCAGACACAACAGAAAAACGTGGCGCCACCTCCATCCTTCCAGCAAAGTCTCGGTGGGAGCCAACACTTCCACAACCCCAGCCTGTAAGGAGGCAGCCAACCTACCAACCTACCCACACCCTCAAACCAGGGTGCTGTCATACAGGATGAGCAGGGACCCCTCCTCCTTGACAAGGGGGTAACGATAACTCTCCTATCCCCCCAGACCTCTGTGGTATGAGTGGATGCCACTCGAGGATCCTGAACCCCACTCCCACATGGCAGTGGGACACCCCCATCCCCCACCCCAATGAGCTGCTGTCAGAAAGGCGGCGTGGAGAGTCAGGACTTTCACCACCAGTCAGTAGCAACAGGTGGCACTCCCCCCCCCCCCACGTAGTAGAGACCATGTGGAAAGCAAGTAGAGGCACATCTAACCTACCCGCCCAGGGAAGTCATCTAGAGGCACATTGGGGGGCCCGAGCGACCACCCCCACCCAGCAGAATGGGAGAGACCGCCCACAGTGTGTCAACAAGCCAAGTGGGGAAACCAGACTTCTCCTTCTACCTTGCAGTCGCGAGGCATCACACCCCCTTCCCGACAGAACAAAACAGAAAGCGTAAATAAGATCCACGACACATCCAAAATGACCAGTTTTCAGTTGAAATTAGTTTGCCACACCAAGAACCTGGAAGAGCACAAACAATGAAAAAAGACAATCAACAAATGCTGTGTTGGTTAAATTTATCTGTCAACCTGACTGGGCTGTGGGGTGCCCAGATATTTAGTCAAACATTATTCTGCGTGTTTCTGAAAGTCTGTTTTTGGATAAGATTAATAGCATAGTTAATAGAGTAAAGCAGATTGTCCTCCATAATGTGGTGAGGTCATCCAGTCAGTAGGCGACCTGAATAGAAAAAAAGACAGACCCTCCTCCAAGTAAGAGAAAATTCTCTAGTAGATTGCCGTCACCGTTCATCTGCACCATTGGCTCTACCAGGTCGTGAGCCTGACAGCCTACACTGCAGATCTGGACTTTCCAGCCTCCATAATCACATGAGTCAATTCTTAATAATAAATCTCAATCTCTCTCTCTCTCTGTCTCTCTCTCTCTCTCTCTCTCTCTCTCTCTGTGTGCACGTATGTATATATGTGTGTACGTATGTATATATATACATACGTACACACATATTCTCTCTCAATAATACACACACACACACTCCATCCTATTGGTTCTATTTCTCTGGAGATCCCTGACTGATACAGACTGCCAACACTGAGATGACAGAGATGACAAAAGTATCTGACTAAGATTTTAAAGCGGCCATCATAAAAATGCTTCAGAAAGTAATTGTGTACATACTTGAAACACATTTAAAAAATTGAAAAGTCTCAACAAATAGTTATCAGCAAATAAAGGACAAAAAGAACCAAATGAAAAATTGGAACTGAAAAACACAATCAAAATTAAAATTTCCATTGAAAGTCACAACAGGATGAAGGGAACCGAGGAAAGATCAGTGAACAGTAAAAAAATAAATAAAAATTACCCAATCTTATAAACAGAGAGAAAACAGTCTTAAAAAACAAACAAACAACAAAAAAAATATCAAGGAAAAATCAAGACAGAATCCTAAGAACCTGTGGGACTCTAACAGAGCTAATATTCATGTCCTCAGAGTAGGAGAATATAGGAAAAAGAAGAAGGCTGAAAAGTACTCCGAGAAATTAATGGCTTTAAACTTCCAAAATTTGGCAAGAAACATACCTACAGATTCATGAAGCTAAGTGGTGCCAAATAGGATAAACCCAAAGAAATCCAAAAGGCATATCATAGTCAAACTTAGGAAACTAAAGAAAAATTTCAAAACTTGAAAGTGGCAAGAAAGAAATGACACCTCTCTTATGAGGGAAAACAATTCAAAAAATTTCTCATCATAAACCATGGCAGCCAGAAAAAAGTGGCACGATACTTTCCAGGTGTTGAAAGAAAGTAATTGTCAATCCAGACACCTACACCCATCAAAAATATCCTTCAGGAGTGATGTGAAAATGAAGACATTCTCATATAAAAACTATGGAAACTAGAATATGTCACCAAGAGCTCTACCCTAAGAGAATAGCTAATAAAATTCTCTAAACAAAAAGGAAATGATGAAAAAAGGAATACTTGACCATTAGGAAGAAAGAATAGAATAATGAAGAGTAAAAACGAGGGTAATAGATTTTCTTTGTCCTTTTGAATTTTATAAGTTATGTCTGACAGTGGTAGCAAAAATTATATTCTGATATGATTCTAAATATATATGTATAGGAAATAATTTTAAGATAACTGTATTATAAATGGGGGTGGGTAGAGAAATGTAAAGAAGGGGGCCGGCCGAGTGGCACAATGGTTAAGCACTGACTTGAGACGCCAGAGGGCTCCGGTTCGGATCCCACATATGAGGGCCAGTGACACTGCCCTCTACAGCTAAGATGCTGAACAACAGCTCAACCGCAACTTGTCTGTTCCCCTTCCCCCCAATTCCCCAATAAAATCTTAAAAAAAAAAAAAAAAGAAATGTAAAGAAGGTAAGGTTTATACACTTCACTTGAAATGGTAAAATGACAGCAAATGACTGAAATACACACGCACACACGCACATACACACAAGACATCAATATACACATTATTTTCAAGCATCCATAAAACACGTACTAAGATCATATAATGGGCCAAAAAACAAGCTTCAACAAATTTTTAAAAATTGACATTTTTTTCAAATTCAGTGTACTCTCTAACCATCATAGAATCAAACTAGAAATGAAAAACAGAAACATAACAGGAAATTCTCCAAACACAAAGTAAACAAAACAATTTTAAATAATCCATGGGTCAAAGAGGAAGTCTGAATGGAATTTTTAAAATACATTGAACTGAATGAAAATGAAAATACAGTATATCAAATTTGCAGGATTCATCTAAAGCAGTGCAAGAGGGAAATTTATAGCACTAAATACATACATTACAAAACAGGAAAGGTCTCAAGTCAATAATCTAAGCTTACACCTCAAGCAGTTAGAAGAGTAACATAAAGCAAGCAGAAAAAAGTAAATAAAGACAAAAGCAGAAATCAAAAAACTTGAAAACACACAAGAGAGAAAATTGGTTTTTTACAAAAAATTGGTTCTTTGGAAAAAATCAGTTAAGTTGACATCCTCTAGCAATGCTGACCAAGAAAAAAAAGGGAGAAGACACAAAAGATCAACATCAGAACTGAAAAAGGGGCTGTCACTACAGGCCCAGCAAATATCAAAGGATAACGAACACCACAAACAACTCTACATGCATTTGACAATGTGGATGACACAGGTCAGTTTTTCAAAAAACACAAACTACCACAATTCGCTCAATACAAAATAGGTAAATTTAATAGTCCTACAATTAAGGAAAGTGAAATTGTAATTTTAAAACTCTCCCCAAAAGGGATATATTGATCAATGGAATAGAACTGGTGATCTAG